CATTGGCACCCCAGTGGTTTCTATCGCTCCCAAACAGTGCCTGGTGGCACTCATCAGCACCCGTTGGTGCCTATCAGTGCCCTCTGGCACCCATCAGTACCTGATGGCACCCACCAGTGCTCATTGGCGTCTGGTGGTACCTGGCAGTTCCTGGTGGTACCTATCAGCACCCAGTGCCGCCTGTTGCTGCCTGTTAGTCCCCACCATTGTCTGGTGGTACCCATAGGTGACCCACGGTGGCCACCAGTGCCTGGTGGCACCCAGCAGTACTCATGGGTGCCCATCAGTCCCCAGTGGTACCCAGCGGTGCCTGTGGGTGCCCATCAGTCCCAAGTAGTGGCCAGTGCTGACCATCAGTACACTGGTGCCTGCTGGCCCCGTGCCGTGCCCCTCACCTGCAGTCGCTGCAGGCTCGCTGGCATTCTTTCCGGCGGTAGCGGCAGATCAGCGCCCAGATGAGAAGCCCGAGCAGGCTAAGGAGCAGGAGGGAGCCCAGGATGGAGCCCACGATGATGCCTGCCTGCCTTCCTCCTGCCACGGGAGCACAGCCTGTCATCGCCGGCCTCCCTGCCGGCTGCCCACTGGTCACCATGCCCTCGGTGGCACTCTGGCATGCAGAGCCAGCCCCCGGCAGCACCCTGCCCACGCTGTCCCTACTGCGGTGGCACTTACTTGGTGCAAGGCTGAGGTTCATCTGGCACACGGAGTAGCCCACGCGGTTGGTGACGCGGCACTGGTAGACGCCAGCGTGCACCTCCGACAGGCTACGGATCAACAGGTCGCCAGGAGCACGTCCTAGAGCGGGGAGAGAGACAGCCCCGTCAGCCCTCACCGCTGCACCTCTGCTGGCACCCACACCCTCGGACACGGGTGCAGACGGACATGGGTGCACACACAGACAGGGACGCTGATGCACACAGACACCCACGTACCTGGGTGCACACATCCATGGGCACCCACCAACACGTGCGCTCGCAGACAGGGACACCCCACCCATGAGCACCCCTTGCACCCAGCAGAGTTCCCCGGGAAAGCGCCCTGGGTGGGCGCAGTGCTGCCAGCACCCACCTTGGATGGTGCCGGAGGGCAGGTGTCCCCCGCCGTAGCCATCAGCCAGCTTGGCCCACTGGTAGGAGAGTGGGGAGGTGCCCCCCCGGCTGTAGCATCGCAGTAGGATGCTGCCCCCCTCTACCAGCTCCCCCTCGGTCCAACACTGCGGGGTGGCTGGCTTCTCTGTGGGGAGAGGGACATTGTCACTGCCAGGGCTACTGGGGACCCCCCAGGGCACCCGGGAGGGGAGCATGGGAGGCAGTGTGGGGGGGTCTCACCTTGCACAGTGACGATGACCTCGTGCACGGCCACAGTGTTTTTCTTCACCCGGCACTGGTAGGTGCCTGTGTCGGAGACCTGCAGGTCAGCCAGGCGGATGGAGGCATCGTACTGGCTGGGGTCGTTCTGCACGAAGGCCACTCGGTCCTGCAGCCCTGAGCCGGTCCCGTAGTTGACGTGGTGGTCGTGGTAGGACAGGAACTGAGGGGGCAAGAGGGGAGACTGGGCAAAAAATGGTCCGGGTGGGGAGACCCGGTGCTGCCAGCTCAGGAGGGAAATGCACTGCCCAGTGCTTGCCTGGCTCTGCTTGCCCTACCCGGACCTTCCCCTGCCCTGCCAGATCTTGCCTGTCCTGCCTGTTCTGCTGGGCTTTGTCTGGTCCTTCCAAGCTCTGCCTGGTCCTTCCCTGCCCTGCCAGACCTTGCCTGTCCTGCCTGTCCCTGCCTGCTCAGCTGGGCTCCATCTGGTCCATCCCAGCCTTGCCCGCACGGTAGGATGGCGGCTGCCGGGACAAGTGACACTCACCACGTTCTCCGGTCCGGTCCGCTCGGGCGTGATCTGGATCCACTCGATGCCCACGCCCTGGGGACCGTGGTCTTCGGGTTCAAGGACGTAGGGGCAGCCCAGCTTCACTGAGTCGCCCTTGGCCAGGTACAGCACCTCTCGGCCCTTGCTGTTGATTCTGACGGCCAGGAGGAGAGCTGGGGAGAGAACGGCACCCATCGCACCAGCCGGGGAGCAGGGGAGCACCCCATACCTGTGCCCCTATGCACCCTGACCCCATGTCCTGCAGCACCCGACCTGCGGGGAACAGGAACCCAACTGCCAGGGTCAAGCACCCACAGGGACCGGGTGTCCTGGTGGAGTTGAGAACCCATCAGGGCTGGCACCGTCTGTGTCCTGTGAAGCTGCATCAGGGACAAAGGGACATGGTGGGCTCAATGCCACCTGCCCGGCTCTGGCTAACACAGGTGGGTGTCGAGGCAGGACCAGTCCCAGCTGCAGGTGCTCTGCTGACCATGGGGGTGCATCCAGCACCCTGGGGTGCCTTGTGCCCCGGCAGGGACCCTCTCCATCCTCAGTGGTATTGCTGCAGGAGCAGGTTCAAGTGTAGACGTCCTTCAGCTCCTACCTGGCATGAGACCTAGGAGCAGGAGCAGGCTGGGGCCAGGCGGCAGCCGTGCCGGGCGGTGAGGAGGAGCGGGAGCGGAGGAGGCTCCGAGGCGACAAGGCAGCCGGCTGTGCGGGGCTGCTTTTACATGCTGGGCCGGGGCGCTCCTCCCTGTGGGGCGGATGCCTGTGGGATGACTGAGTGGCTCCAAGCTGTGCGTGAGCAATGCTGCCCTGCTCCACTCCCTACCTGGTAATTAAGCATCACCATGGTATGGGCTCCCATCCAGCCAGACCTGGGCTGGGGACCATTGCAGGCAGTGCGGGCAGGGAGCACAGGACTCCCTGGGGCACCCGGAGCAGCGAAGCGGGGATTGGGGTGGACCGTGGGCCCTGCGGTGCCCGGTGGCTGGTACCCTGGGGTGGGCACTGGTGGGAAGAACGCGGCTGAGGCTGCCTGGGACCCTGCAGGAGCAGTCCAAGCATCGGGACTGCATGGAAGTGCCAGCTTGGCTCCATGCAGGTCCCGAAAGGATTTTGGTCTTGAGGCAGAACCCAGGACAATTGGAAGAGCTTAAAGGTGTGGTTTCACCATGGGATTAAGCTCTTGCAGATTCCCTCCTCCGGTCCTGCCCACCTCAGCAAGCGGGCAAGGGGATGTTTCAGCCATGTGGGGACCATGGCACCCACCAAGCCTAAATACAGCGTGGCGACCTGGCTGGTGTTCCAGGCCATGGCTCACTGCACGGGGACATTGCGGCATGGCACCAACGGGGCAGCACACCCCAGGCCATGCTCAGCACAGCGGAGGGGACAAGCAGTGCGGCTGGAGGAGGCTGGGACAGCCAGAGGGGAGGAAGAGAGGGGCAGAAACCTGCTGGGATCTGAGGGCAGGAGTTGGGGACAGGGATGCTCAGCAGTGGATGGAGGAGTTGGAGACAGGGATGCTCAGCAGTGGATGGAGGCGTTGGAGACAGGGATGCTCAGCAGCGGATGGAGGAATTGGGGACAGGGATGCTCAGCAGCGGATGGAGGAGTTGGGGACAGGGATGCTCTGTGGTGCCTGGAGGAGCTGGGGATAGGGATGCTGGGGGCCACACCGGGGTTGCTCAGCCCCCTGGGAAGCCCCAGCCATGGCCACTTTCCATGCCCATGTCCCTCGGAGGGGCT